TGTGGTCGTGCTGGGGTGTGGTCGTGCTAGGGTGGGGTCGTGCTGGGGTGGGGTCGTGCTGGGGAGTGGTCGTGCTGGGGGGTGGTCGTGCTGGGGTGTGGTCGTGCTGGGGCGTGGTCGTGCTGGGGTGGGGTCGTGCTGGGGTGGGGTCGTGCTGGGGTGGGTTCGTGCTGGGGTGCTCCGCACCCTGTGATTTATCGATGGGGTGTGGTCGTGCTGGGGTGTGGTCGTGCTGGGGTGTGGTCGTGCTGGGGAGTGGTCGTGCTGGGGTGTGGTCGTGCTGGGGGGTGGTCGTGCTGGGGGGTGGTCGTGCTGGGGGGGTGGTCGTGCTGGGGGGTGGTCGTGCTGGGGCGTGGTCGTGCTGGGGCGTGGTCGTGCTGGGGCGTGGTCGTGCTGGGGTGTGGTCGTGCTGTGGTGAGGTCGTGCTGGGGTGTGGTCGTGCTGGGGTGTGGTCTTGCTGGGGTAGGGTCGTGCTGGGGTCGGGTCGTGCTGGGGTGTGGTCGTGCTGGGGTATGGTCGTGCTGGGGTGGGGTCGTGCTGGGGTGGGGTCGTGCTGGGGTCTGGTCGTGCTGGGGTGTGGTCGTGCTGGGGTATGGTCGTGCTAGGGTGGGGTCGTGCATTTCGCTCGAGACATCCTGCCAAAATTCCAGGAAATCGTACAAAAACAAAGGAATTAGTCGAGACATCATCGAAATTCCTTCGCGCGGGGCGCTTTTCCGCGTCGCGGTCGGCTCTGCAAAACAAGCGTTTCGCTCGAGACATCCTCGGCAAACTCTGCGGAGCAAGCGTTTCGCTCGAGACATCCTCAACTCTGCAAAACCAGCGTTTCGCTCGAGACATCCTCAAGAAATTCTGAAAAACAAGCGTTTCGCTCGAGACATCCTCAAATTTTAATTCGCCGGCCTCCTTCGACCTCGTTATTTATCAGGGAAAAAATTCGCCGGCCTCCCTCAAGCAGGCACCGGGGGACAGGTTTACCTACTAAAAGAGAACCCTGGGCCGATGCCCTTTCCGGGAAAAAAACAGTATCATCCCGCAGACCGTCAGCCAGGCACTCAGGACCGACCTGGCTAAGTCCGCTACTAGGTCAGCTACGCGTTCAGGTCCCAAGGGCGCAGTACTATACGAGTGTAGTTGCAATCCCGACAGCAAGCTCAGTGAAAAATGGACTGCACATGGAGGAATTGCCGTTCGCTGCGGACTACCCGCCTACGACCTGTCGAGCCCGACCATCGTCGGCAAACTCGAGCAGAAGATTAAGTGCAAGCTCCAGAAAAGCCACAACGCACGAGTGCACGCAGCTTTTCCTTGCACGCCTTGGACATCGCCACAGAGGCCCATCGTCAAGATCTATCCCAAGAAAGGCTCACAGCTCGCAAAGGACCTGGATAAATCCGTTAAGATGATCGACCTGTTCCTAAAGGCCATGCGTCGCCTACGGAAGGAGTTCGGCACTCAGCTCACCGTCTCGTCTCGTTCGAGTGGCCTCGCCACTGCGACGGCTGGAATCAAGAGAAGAACCCGATCATCAACGAGCTGCGTCGACAACTACCGAGAGCGCTCGATTTCGACGGATGCGCCAACAACCTGAAGACCAAGAAGGGGGATCCGATCAAGAAGCCCTGGAGGACTATCACCGACCACTTCGGCATGGACCATGGACGACTCGCTCAGAAAGTTCTGCGACCAGAGCCACCGTCACGCAGACGCAAGAGGCCGCGACGCGAAGAACAGCGAGAACTACACCAACGAGCTCGTCGAGGTCCTAACCAAGCAGCTGCGCAAGCCGAACAAGCCGGTCCCACGCGAGGCAAACCCCGCGCAGCCTGCGCGGAGGAGGGCAGCAAGGAGGACGGTGTCTGCGCCGGCTGCCGCTGCCGAACCATCACTAACGGCAGCGGAGGAGCGGGCCATCAAGTCCGCCATCACGCAGCTCCACGTCAACACGAGGCACCCGTCCAACGAGTCGCTGGCACGGGCTATCCGCATCACTGGCGGATCGCAGCGCTCTGTGAAGATGGCTCTCAACTTGCACTGCGATGTTTGCGCCGCGCACCAAGGATCTTTATCGCATCTACCTGGGAGAATTCGAATCGATCGAGATTTCAATGATTCAATTGGTGTAGATTCATCTACATTCGCCGATTACGCCGGAAACCTGCTGATTTTCCTGAATATCGTCGACCAGCCTCCGGGTTCACTTTGTGCGGAACGGTTTCTACAAGACATCCGAGTACGGTATTCTCACGGCCCCTACAAGTATGGATTACTCCGTCTGGGGCTCCACAATGCGTTATCTTTGGTGGAGGAGGAGAGTTCGAGAGGGAATTTCCTAAGGAACTCGAAGACATGGGTTGCCACTTAATGACAACTTCGGCTACGACACCGCAACAGAACGCTACTGTCGAGCGTCGCGGAGGCCCATGGAAGATCCACGCTCGCAAGCTGATCGACCAATTCAGCATCAGGTTCGACCAGCCCGCGGAGACCCACAAGATCAAATGGCTGCTTGCCTCTGTCTGCTGGGCAATGAACAGCTCAGTCAACGCCAGCGGATATTCACCCGCACAGTGGAGTGGGTACTGGGCCGTGGATTTCGCTTACCATGCTGTCTCCTAGACAACGCTGGACGGCTCTCTCTTCACGAACGAATCGTTTCCGACCAGCCATTCTCCGAGAGGGCCGCCATCATGAAGGCCGCCCAGACCTCCATCCAGCATCTGCGCTTCAACCAGTCCCTGTCGAGAGCGCTGTACGCCCGGTCTAGGGCGGACGGTGCGCAACATGCGCAAGACGTCTACCAGACAGGGGACCAGGTGTACTATTGTAGAGGCAACGGGAAGCCCAAACGGGATTGGGCTCTCCAGTGGCATGGCCCCGGTGTCATCATCTGATTCGAGGGCGCCTCCAACGTCTGGGTCAGCCACCGCTCCACTACCGCGAAGGTCAACAGAGGTCACCTACGACATGCCACAGCTTCCGAGCTCGCTCCATGGGGCCAAGTCCTGAACGCCATGAGCGGTCAGCAGCCGCGGCCGCCGCCACCAGAACAGCCACCAGCTGATCCACCAGCGCCTCCAGGCCATGGAGGAAGCGGAGGAGGAGGCGGTCCACCACCTCCACCACCGCGAGATGGGCCAGCCGACGACCCCAAGGATGAGGACGTCGTCATGGACCTCACATGCCCTACGCCGCAGAAGCGCGCGCGAACTGCTGACATGCCATCAGCGCCCGCAGCACTGCCACCTCCGCCTGCACCCGCAGTCATCATGCAGCAAAATGTCGGCAACATCGAGGATGCGCCCGGCAACCGCCGCGGGCATTACGTCGCAGAATAGCTGCGTGACGAAGTTTTTACTTCGAGTGGAGGTGCCAGTGGAAGTGGTTCGTCGACAGGACCTTCGGGAGGAGACCTACCGCAGCCGCAGCCGGCCTTGCCAGCCGCAGCAGAACCTGCAGGCTGCGGCCCTGCCGAACCAGCTCGCGATGGACCAGTAGAAGATGATGGAGATAGCTCCGGGTCCGAGATGATCAGCGACTGGGCCAGGCAGATGGAGGAGCAGTACAGACAGGAGGCCGCAGCTCGGCGACCACAACATCCTGCCGACCAACGGGGCAGCAAAACACAACGTCGCGACCAAAGGGAAGATGCTCCCCGTGCCCTCCGACGCGATCAAGAAGAGCATACCGATCTTCGAGTTCGGGCTGCTCAAAGAAAGGAGCTGCTGGACGACTTGCCGACGTGCTTCAAGAAGCCCCGCGACAAAAACAAGACGGACTACTACTTGGACAACTACCTCAAGGCCAGCTCAGACGAGATGCACTTCGCTCCCTCGCTACGAGAAGTTCCACCATACAGCAAGACCACCGCCAAGGAGCTCAAGTACGACAACCTCTCCAACAAGGAGAAGAAGCTCATGGACGAGGCCATGCGCGACGAGTGGTCCAAGTGGACAGAGTTCGGGGCCTACAAGAAGCTGCCGCCCAAGGAACTAAAGGAGCTCCTGCGGCGGAATCCTGGCTACCGCCTCGTCGGCACGCGCTGGGTGCTTACCACAAAGGCACAGGAACTTATGAAGGCGCGCCGGGCTGCCAGGAAGACAAGTCGCAGATTCGCAGAGATGCACCTACTGGATCCAGAGATGCACTATACCTCACGCTTGCCGCCGCTGCTCAGTCTGGATGGGACCTCGCATCGTATGAGGCCATGACGGCCTACCTCCAGTCCGGCAACATTGATTGGCTCCTGCCGTTGCGCCTGCCAGCGAAGAAACCACCGACAAGGACTTCACCTGGGGAGATCGCGATGGCGACCGGCGCCATCTACGGCACCCGCGACGCGGGGAGGCGATGGTACCGCTACGCCCAGAAGATCTTGAAGGAGCACGGCCTCATCGAGAGCAGATTGGAAAAGGGGTTCTACCATGTCTATGACGACACGGGCCTCGCCGCCATGATACATTCCCATGTGGATGACTTCCTGATCGCCCAGCGGAACGACTCCAGCGCTTGGAAGCGTACCATCAGCATCCTGGAGAAGAAATTGCATCTCAAGAAGATCGATGGCATCATCAAGTACTGCGGCCACACCATTTCTAAGTCCGATGACGAGTTTCGCGCCATGCAGACGACGGCCGCTACAACGCTCCTTTGCGGGAGGAGGAGGAGGAGGAGGAGGAGGAGGAGGAGGAGGAGGAGGAGGAGGAGGAGAGGAGGAGGAGGAGGAGGAGGAAAAGGAGGAGGAGGAGGAAGGGAAGTGAGGAGGAGGAGAGGAGGAGGAGGAGGAGGAGGAGGAGGAGGAGGAGGAGGAGGAGGAGAGAGGAGGAGGAGGAGGAGGAGGAGGAGGAGGAAAAGGAGGATGAGGAGGAGGAAGGGAAGTGAGAGGCGGCAGCGCAGGAGCAGGGTTCGCGAACGAGCGAGGCCCTGGGCTCGCGGGCGCGGCCGGTTGAGCCCGGGAGGGCGGGCGCGCGCGCGCGCGGGGCCCCCCCCGGGGGCGCCGCCTGGCGACTGCACGGACACGATGGAGTCCAGGGCGGCGCGCGTGTCCTGCGGCGCACGGGCGGCGACGGGCGGTCCCCGCAGACGACGGCGGCGACGGCGACGAGCACGTCGACGACGGCCTCCCAGACCCCTCCCCAGCCCGCCCGTCCACCACAAGCCCTCCCCATCAATGCTCATCCCAGCAAGTCCATCTCTCGCCCTCTTTCCCTGTCTCGCCTCCCCCTCCTCCTACCTCCATATCCTCCCTTTCCCTCCTAATCCCCCTCCTTCCTCCTCCTGCTCCTCCTCCTCCTCGTCCTCCTGTTCCTCCTCCTCCTCATCCTTCCTGCTCCTCCTCCTCCTCCTCCTCCTCATCCTCATCCTCATCCTCATCCCCATCACCATCATCATCCTCAGCATCAGCATCATGATAATGATCATCATCATCATCATCATCATCATCATCATCATCATCATCATCATCATCATCATCAGCATCAGCATCAGCATCAGCATCCGCATCAGCATCCGCATCAGCATCCGCATCCGCATCAGCATCAGCCTCAGCATCAGCATCATCATCATCATCACCATCAGCATCATCATCATCATCATCATCATCATCATCATCACCATCACCATCATCATCATAATCACAAGCATGATCGGCGGCATCTTCAGCATCATCAGAATCCGTATCATCATCATCATCATCAGCAGCAGCAGCAGCATCCTCATCATCATCATCATCGTCATCATCATCAGAAGCAGCAGCAGCATCATCAACATCAAGAGCATCATCAACATCATCATCAGCATCATCATCGTCATCATCAGCAGCAGCATCGTCATCATCAGCAGCATCATCACCAGCATCATCATCACCACCATCACCACCACCATCGTCATCAGCACCATCATCAGCATCATCATCAGCATCATCATCAGCATCAGCATCAGCATCATCATCAACATCATCATCATCATCGTCATCATCATCATCATCATCATCATCGTCATCAGCATCATCACCAACATCATCAGCAGCAGCATCAGCAACATCATCATCAAAATCAGTGTCACCATCATCGGCATCATTATCATCGGCATCATCATCATCCTCATCAGCATCTTCGAAATCAGCATCATCAGCATCATTAGCATCGGCTTCATCATCAGTATCATTCTCATCACCATCATCATCAGCAGCAGCATCGTCAGCAGCATCATCAGCAGCATGATCATCAGCATCATCAGCAGCAGCATCATCCTCATGGTTAGCACCGTCATCATCATCATCAGCATCATCAGCATCGTCGTCATCATCAGCATCCGCATCAGCATCAGCATCTCCATCATCGTCGTCATCATCATCAGCATCCGCATCAGCATCAGCATCACCATCATCAGCAGCAGCATCAGCATCAGAATCATGGTAATCGTCATCATCAGCAGCATCATCAACAGCATCTTCATCAGCATCATGATCATCAATCATCATCATGATCAGCATTGTCATCAGCATCATCAGCATCATCAGCATCATCATCATCATCAGCATCACCATCTTCATCGTCAGTATCAGCAGCATCAGCATCAGCATCAGCATCAGCATCCTTATCATCAGCACCACCATCATCATCATCAGCATCAGCAGCAGCATCAGCATAAGAATCATCAGCATCACCATCGCCATCACGGTCACAGGCACCATCGCCATACGTAATCAGCATCATCAGCAGCAGCAGCAACTGCATCTTCATCCACCACATCACCTTCACCACCAGCAGCAGCATCAGCAGCAGCAGCCACAGCAACAACCGTATACTCGGCATCATCGTCATCGTCATGATCAGCAGCAGCATGATCATCACCAGCACCATCACCAGCATCATCATACGTACCACCAGCATCATCGCCATCATCACATGAAAATCAGAATCGCCATCGTCATTGGCATCATCATCATCACAATCACAACCATCATCATCGACGTCACCATCACATGAGAAACCTTGTCATCGTCATGGTCATCACCATCCTGATCGATATCATAAAGAGCAAGTTCATGTTTCTATTCGCCCTTCTCCTAATGCCAATTATCATCAGTAGGATCAGCATCATCGTCATCATCATCAGCAGCATCATCGCCAGCATCATCAGAAGCAGCATCATCAGTATCATTGTCATCAGCATCATCATTCTCATCCTTACCACACCACCACCATTATCATCATCAGCAGCATCATAAGCATCAGCAGCATCGTCAGCACCATCATCATCATCATCAGCATCATCAGCATCATCATTATCATCAGCGTCAGCGTCAGCATCATCGTCGCCATCAGCATCAGCATCAGCATCAACATCAGCATCATCGTCAGCAGCAGCATCAGCATCAGCATCATGGTAATCGGCATCATCAGCAGCATCATCATCATCTTCATCAGCATCATGATCATCAATCATCATCATGATCGGCATTGTCATCAGCATCATCAGCATCATCATCATCAGCGTCAGCATCATCGTCATCATCATCAGCAGCATCATCGCCAACATCATCAGCAGCAGCATGTTCAGTATCATTGTCATCAGCATCATCATTTTCATCCTTACCACACCACCACCATTATCATCATCAGCAGCATCATAAGCATCAGCAGCATCGTCAGCACCATCATCACCATCAGCATCATCAGCATCATCATTATCATCAGCGTCAGCGTCAGCATCATCGTCGTCATCATCATCAGCATCAGCATCAACATCAGCATCATCATCAGCAGCAGCATCAGCATCAGCATCATGGTAATCGTCATCATCAGCATCATCATCAGCATCTTCATCAGCATCATGATCATCAATCATCATCATGATCAGCTTTGTCATCAGCATCATCAGCATCAGCATCATCAGCGTCAGCATCATCTTCATCTTCAGTATCAGCAGCATCAGCATCAGCAACATCATCATCAGCACCACCATCATCATCAGCACCAGCCGCAGCAGCATCAGCATAAGCATCATCAGCATTAGCATCGACTTCACGGTCACAGTCACCATCGCCATACGTAATCAGCATCATCACCAGCATCCACAACATCACCTTTACCACCAGCAGCCGCATCAGCAGGAGCAGCCACAGCAACAACTGTATACTCAGCATCATCGTCATCATCATGATCATCAGCATCATCAGCATCATCAGCATCATCATCATCCTCATCACCAGCATCATCATACGTATCATCATCCCCGCATGAAAATCATAATCGTCATCCTCGTTAGCACCATCATAATCATCATCATCATCATCATCAGCATCACCATCATCACCATCACAACCATCATCATCGTCATCAACATCACTTTATCAACCTCGTCATCGTCATCGTCATCGCCATCCTGATCGACATCATAAAGAGAAACTCATGTTTATACTCTTCCTTCTCCTCATGCTAATTATCATCAGCAGGAGCAGCATCATCGTAATCATTATCAGCAGCATCATCACACTCATCATCATCATCAGCAGCAGCATCATCAGTATCACTATCATCGTCATCAGCATCATCATTCTCCTTACCACACCACCACCACCACCACCACCATCATCATCATCATCATCATCATCATCATCATCACGATCATCATCATCATCATCATCATCATCATCAGCAGCAGCAGCAGCAACATCATCACAATCATCATCAGCATCATCATCATCATAATCAACATCATCATCATCATCATCACCATCATTACTGCCGTCATCACAGTCATCATGACTGTCATCATCACCGTCATCGTCGTCGTGTCGTCGTCATCATCACCATCAGCATCAGTATTATTACCATCATCATCAGCAGCAGCATCAGCGTCAGCATTAGCATCATCATCATCGTCATCGTCATCATCAGCATTAGCATCATCATCGTCATCGTCATCGCCATCGTCATCGTCATCATCACAAGCATGATCGTCAGCATCATCAGCATCATCATAATCATTATCATCATCATCGTCATCAGCATCATCATCATCATCATCATCATCATCATCATCATCATCATCATCATCTCTCAGGAGGTGATCGCCGTCGCCGCCGCCGTCGCCATGCGCACCGCCATCGCCGTCGTCGTCGCTGGACGCCTTGAGCGTCGCGCGCAGCGCCCGCAGCCGCAGCGCGGTGGACGCCGCGCCGCGGTCGCCGTGGGGGGGCGCGTCGATGGAGCCGTCCTCAGGGGGTCCACAAGTCTCGGGCGGGGGGCGAGGAGGGCAAGACGAAGCCAGGACCTGGAAAAATCGGACCAAGATATAGATCAGAGACTTTTGCGATCCGGCGGTTCTGGAGGCTCTGTCTGGCCGGTGCTGATGGGGGGTGACCCAATTAGAGGGTGAAGATGAGGGTCACCTTCGGGCCCCTGCTGGCGCCAAAAGGGGCCCTGGAGGGGCCCTTGAGGGCTCATGTTCTTCACCCCCCACTCGCCCGCCATTAGCACCCGCCCGACTCCAGCCGCAGGTCGGGCATGTCCGCTACAGGCGGACCTTGGACGAAAAATTCAAAAGTTCCCAAACATGCTGAAAAAATACCTCAAAAATCGCCCCCCGACTATTTTTTTACTATTTTTGACTATTCCTCCTGTAGAGGGGCAGGCCCGACTTAACTCTAGCCACGGGACGCATCCCAGTCCCAGCCCCGCCTGGAGGAAGTGGCGGCGAGGCGAGGCGAGGCGCCGTGGGGAGGCGCGTCGCTGGGGCTGTCCTGAGGATGTGGTCCGGAAGTCCCGGGGTAGCGCCAAGTCGGGCATGCCCCCGTACAGGAGGCATATTCAAAAACAGCCAAGACAAGCGCTCTCTGGGGACGATGTTCCAGCTATCTTCGATTCTTGTACGAGAATTCTGGGACTACTTTTCATGTCCTGCGAGGCGGGGACTTATCCATATCCACCGCCTGGGGACCGACGTCCTGGTACCCCAGCGGGCGGCGGATATGGCTATGTCGTGGCCCCTGGGGGCCCGCATATGTCCATATCCGCCGCCTGCGAGGCCCCCGAAAATGAATCCTCCGGGCGGTGGTCATGTACAAATTCCCGCTTCGGCATTTCCTCCCGAAGTCCCGAAGTCCGCCTGTGGGAGGTCCTGCCCGACCGAAGGGTAGCGTTAAGTCGGGCCTGTCCTCCTACAGGAGGATTTCGGATGATTCGTTTTTGCTTTTATTGCTGTTTTTATTGCTTATTTGTTGTCCACCAAACAAAAAACAAAAACAACAACAAAAAAAAAAAAAAACTATCATTTCTTTACTATTTTTGAATCGTCCGCCCGTGGGAGGCCCTGCCCAGCCGAAGGGCAGCGCGGAGGGGGCGGCGCGCGGGGGGCGAGGCGGGGCCACGCGCCGGCGCGAGGGCGGCCGGCACGGCCCGGGGAGGCCCCCCCCGCGGTGACCCCGAGGAGAGGGCCCCCCGAGGAGAGGGCCGCAAGACGGCCGCGGGAGAGGCCCCTCCAGGGAGCCCACAGAGGACGTGCGCGCCCAGCTGCGCAGAGGAGCACGGCCCCTCCGATCCGCGAGACGGGCCGCACGACACGAAGATTCGCGCAGTGCGCACTCTCGAGACCAGCGTGGATTCGTGTGCGCGTACGTCCTTCTGTCGCTCCCGACCCTCGACGTGCCCAAAGCGCCCGCACAGGGCCCCACTCTGGGTTTCTCGCTAAGTGTCGGGGGGGTACCCCACCGACGGGGGTCAGCCTCGCCTCGTCGTCGCGCCGCGAGGGGGGGTCGGAGCGCCTTCGGCGCGCGGTGGCTGCCCGCGACGCGGGTCGATGTGGGGCTGTCGGCGGGAGCGACGCCATCCCGACGCTTATCAAGAAACTCGGAGTAACCCATCGGTCGGAAGAAGGAGGTAGAAACACGCAGTAGGAAGACGTTGAAAGTAGATTGGGTTCCGTCCGCCCCCTAGGGAGGACGAAGGAGGTGAAGCCACTCGATCATTGAAGAAGGAAGGCGCTTAAAGTAGATTGGGATCTGGGAATCCAAAAATACCTACTTTCAACGACCGATGGCCACAGTGGAGGCCAGTCCAGAAGAAAACCTCCACAAGCAAGAGACCCCACCCTGAGACCCCAGGACGTCCATCGATTTTTGGTGTGGGAACGTCGCGATTTCTATAGCAAAACCGTCGAAACCCAGGAAACCCAGGGCACCCTGGAGGCAAGCAGGGTGTTTCTGTTGGCACGGGCCCCCACTGCACGAGAACGCCAGGACGGCCCAGAGAGGTGCCCGAGACGGCCGTGCGGCGAGCCGACGTGCCTTCAGAGGGGCGGCCCGGCGAGAGCAGAGGGGCGGCCCTGCGAGAGCGCGGCGCGCGGGCCGGAGCCCGGGATGCACCTCTGGATCCGCGTGAGACTCGCGAGTGGAGTACTCAAGGGGGGGGGCGACGACGAGGAGCGAGGGGCGGAGGCCGCCTTTTTGCCACCGCCCGCCAGATCGATGCCCTCCCTGGTCACTCCGACGCTGTGGCCGCGACGGCTCGCGCGGGTGAGCGGAGGGAGCCCGCGACGCTTCGGGAAGCAAAGTCGCCCAAACCCCTGCGGGACAGAGCGGGGAGGGAGGAGGGTTTGAGGGGGCTCTCGGACTTCAAAAGAGTTCAGCGATGAAGGTGTGATGAAGGTTCTGAACAGTTTGGAATCCCGAAGCGGTGCGGTGACGGACCGTGCGGTAACTTCGAAATCACCCCAGACCTCACCGCACGGTCCGTCACCCCACGGTTTTGGGACCCCAGAGGCCCGGAGAGGGACTCGAGTCCCAAAACCGTGCGGTGACCTCGAATCCCTACCGACTCACCGCACGGCGTGGTCACCGCCCCGTTTGGGGGCCCCCGAAACAGGTGCCTTGGGGTTCTTGGGACGTCCACCGGGTCCGGAAGAGAATGAGGAGAAAAGGGAAGAAAGGGCGAAACGGGAGGAAGGGGAGAAAGAGGAGAAGGCGCGAAGGGGAGCAGGCGTAGAAGGAACGGGAGGAGATTTACAAGTGGAGGGATGAGGAGGAGGAGGAGGAGGAGGAGGAGGAGGAGGAGGAGGACAAATAGAAGAGGAGGAGGAGAGGAGGAGGAGGAGGGGGGGCGGAGTGGAATGAGGAGGAGAGGGAGGAGGAGGAGGAGAGGAGGAGGGGAGGAGGAGGAGGAGGAGGAGGGGGCGGGGGGAGAGGATCACTGACCAAACTGCCAGGTCTGCAAGCGGGCCGCCATTGAGCAGTTTCTCGGGGCCGTTGGCCGCACATGGGACTGCCAACGGGGGACACCCACTGCTTGGGGAGACCCCAACTCGCAGCCTGTTTATGGGGGATGCTAGCGAGGTCCCGCCCTGGCTAGCAACCCCACATCGAAAGCAAGCTTGGGCTACCAGCCCTGGGACGGGGGAGGAGGAGGTAGAGAGGAGAGCGCAAGGGGGGGGGGCAGTGGGAGCCAGCGGGAACCGAAAGGGGAAGGGGGGGCGGACGAGGCGGGGGAGAGCGAGGAGGCAGGATGGCGTCCGGCCTCTGGAGAGCTGGGCGGTCGGGTTGGGACTGGCTTGGGTTAGAGAAGGGATGTGGGGACGGGAGCGCTTCGTTGGTGGCTTCGCCTGAGCAATCTGGATCCAGCCTGCATGGATCCCCCTAATGTTGGCAATATCTTGCCTACCTAGTGCGGCGTGCTACCAGAACTCAAGGCTTATGCGTTGAGTCGGGCAAGCCGAAACAACGGACCGCAGGCTAGATGGGTATGCGCAGCATAGCCGTAGCCCACAGTCCTAGCAGAGTTCCAGTGTGGACGGCACTAGTCTTGCCTACCTAGTACTGCTTGCCACCAGAACTCCAGCCTTCTTTGCTGAGTCGGGCCAGCCGAAACAACGGACCGCAGGCTAGATGGGTACGCGAAGCATAGCCGTAGCCCACAGTCCTGGCAGAGTTCCAGTGCGGACGTCACTAGCCTTACCTGCCTAGTGCGGCTTTCTGCCAGAACTCCAGCCTTGTTTGTTGAGTCGGACCAGCCGAAACAACGGACCGCAGGCTAGATGGGCATGCGAAGCATAGCCGTAGCCCACACTCCTGGCAGAGTTCCTGCGCGGAAGGCGCCAGCCTATAAACCGCGCTGCAACGGACGTCAGGACGCCTATCATGATATGACAGGTTGTGCTCCTCGACCCGAGATGGCTGGGTATGCCGGAAGACCCCCCCCCCCCCCAGTGGTTGAGGGGCGAGCCTGGCCTGTAGGGGATCCGGCTACTACCCCTGGGCTGGGCAGGCCGGGACAAGGGGTGCCGAACTTAAAAAGATATCCCCACCCCCTAAGCTCTGAAACCCGCAAGGATGGAGGTGTGGCCCCCAGGAACCAACACCCTGACCGGGGTAACCTCAACCACAAACACCTTCGCCTTCCCTCTGGCGACTGGAGAATGACTCTAAAAACTTTTAGAGTCACGCAAACTCAAGGGCCTTAGCCTGGGGCCCGAACAGAGTTCCCAATTTCTTGCCTACCCAGTGCGGCGCGCTACCAGAACTCAAGGCTTATGCGTTGAGTCGGGCAAGCCGAAACAACGGACCGCAGGCTAGATGGGCATGCGCAGCATAGCCGTAGCCCACAGTCCTAGCAGAGTTCGACTGCGGACGGCGCTAGTCTTGCCTACCTAATGCTGCCTGCCACCAGAACTCCAGCCTTATTTGTTGAGTCGGGCCAGCCGAAACAACGGGCCGCAGGCAAGATGGGTATGCGTAGCATAGCCGTAGCCCACAGTCCTGGCCGAGTTCCAGGGCGGACGGCGCTAGCCTTACCTGCCTAGTGCGGCTTCCTGCCAGAACTCCACCTTGCAAATACATGCGCGGGGGTCTATCCAGGGAGACAGTTAAGATGCCGACAGCGCTAATCCTCATTACCGTATTCAGTGCAACCAGTATCCACGGCGCGGCAGTTCTTACACCCACGGCGTGGCGATTCCTACATCCACGGCGTGGCAATGCATACATCCACGGCGTGGCAATTCCTACATCCACGGCGTAGCAATTCCTACATCCGCGGCGCGGCAATTCCTACATCCACGGCGCGGCAATTCCTACATCCACGGCGTGGCAATTCCTACATACACGGCGTGGTAATTCCTACATCCACGGCGCGGCGATTTCTTCATTCACGGCGCGGTCATTTCTGCATCCACGGCGCGGCGATTCCTACATTCACGGCGTGGCAATGCCTACATCCACGGCGTGGCAATGCCTACTACCCCCCGTGGCAATTCCTACATCCACGGCGTGGCAATCTCAAAATCCACGGCGCGGCAATTCCTAGATCCAGAACCAAGGAGGATGTCAACGACCACGGCGCGGCTAATCGCACAACCACGGCGCGGCAATTCCTTCATCCACGGCGCGTCATTTCCTACATCCACGGCGCGGCAACTCCTACATCCACGGCGCGGCACCCCCTACATCGATAGGTGGGGGGGGGGATCGGGTCAGGATGAGCAAGAAGACGGACGTCCAGCTCGGCGCCCCACCGGATGAAGGGGGGGATGGCAGGGAGGGAAGGCGGGGTAGGGGACGTGCAAAGGCAGGCCTTCCAAGGCCCGAAGTATGCCTGTGTCGCCCAGGGGGGCCTAGCCCAGGGGGGCACTGCGGTGGTGCTCATCGGGGGCTTGACAGACAAGCCCCCTCACAGGCGCCCCGCGCGTCCACCGCAGCCCCCCCCCAGGGCTGCAGCCCCCCGTCGGCGCGGGGCGGGCGGGGGAGGAGGAGCAGAAGGAGGAGGAGGAGGAGGAGGAGGAGGAGGAGGAGGAGGAGGAGGAGGAGGGTGCCTGCTGCCGCCGCTGCCAAGGCCAGGGGACTTATTTTCTGCGGCACCTCTGGGCGCAGACGAGCTTAGGCAAGGATGCGCCGGCTCTGGGAAACGATCGGTCGCGTCGAGCGCAGCCTGGACGCGACCAGAGAACATTAGCCAGAGGCGAGGGCTCACAACACGCGCGAGGGGTGGGAGGGACTGGGAGCGCGAAACTGAAAGGGCCTAAATGGCAGCGGAATGCGGCCTCTTCAACTCTCGGCAATCGGCAATCCCCAACGAAGTAGGATACATGCCTGCTGCCGCCGCTGCCAAGGCCAGGGGACTTCTTTTCTGCGGCACCTCTGGGCGCAGACGAGCTTAGGCAAGGATGCGCCGGCTCTGGGGAACGATCGGTCGCGTCGAGCGCAGCCTGGACGCGACCAGAGAACATTAGCCAGAGGCGAGGGCTCACAACACGCAACCTTGCCATACTTTCCAGTTGGTCATCTCGATTAATTACACACTGCATGGGGAAACATAATTAAGAAAAAAGGGGTGAGAGCTGTGTCGTTTTGGCGCTTCCGTGGGCCCGGTCGAAAGCGTCCGCGAGTGCGCTGCAAAAACGAGGGGGCTAGCGCTCAGCGGCCTTCGTCTTGAAACCACCCGCTGCTGCCAACCCGCGAATAGACGCGCGAGGCTTATCAGTGCGACTACAGACTTTTCCTGAGCACCGACAGGTAAGATGAGCGAGGGCGATTCGATCGCCAAGAACACCAGTAGGTTTCTTCCACGGCGCCCCCCACTGACACAAGTCTGTAATAATGAAAGAAGAGGTGTTCCAGCTGCTGGCTTTCAAGAGACGAGGAAGGAGCCACAAACGCGAGCGAGCAGGATTCTCGATGGCGACAGGCAAAGCTAGAAAATGCATGAGTTCGAAGATGCTACAACAGAAGGCGGCCAAAAGATTGCCTACTCGCACAGCCTCGAGATCGCCTGGATGCTCGAGGGCACTCAGGCCCATCAATTCTTGATCACTGCGAAGGCGGGATGGCAGGCAGGGTCGAGGGTGGTCAGGATCTCGAAGGGGCCCGGTGTCCCGCGCCCTCGTCCAAGTCTGACAAGGCGTGCCCATGAACACCCCCCGCGCGAGCCCGGCCAGAATCCGACCTCTCACCAACTTCTGCCTCGCCTGCCGGCTCAAGCCCCACTGTGGACCGCGCCCCTTGCCCCACTCCAGGACGAAAAAACCGCGAGACCGCAGGCTTTGAGACAGGCCGCCGTGCCCGCTGAAAAGCTCTAGAAACACCTGCGGCTGGACGAGGCGGGCACCCCTGGAGGCCAGGGTGCGAGCAAAGGCATCACGAGGGCCGCCCGGAGCGCCGCCGTCGAGCCGACAGCTCGGCCCCGGGCGGCGCCTGGCAGCCTCTGTAGCTGCTCCCCCAGCGGCCCTCCTTCTGGCACCTGCGGACGCTCGAGTCGCAGTGCCACCGCCCCCGCAGCTTTATCTCCTGCAACGTCCGCAGCCCTCGCGCCCGATCGCGGCTTGGCCCGCTGTGCCGCAGCACGTGCAACTCCGGGCCCAAGCACTCGACCTCGGCGCGCACGGCCGCGGCCCTGAAGTTGCGGACGAGGTCCGCGCGCAGGAAGCCGAAGACAGGCTGCCTTGGCGGCGCGCTCCTCTTGAGGAAAGCGAGCACGCTGTGGAGGAAGCTGAACTCCGCGAGGTCGAACACCACGGTCTCGTCGAAATCCCTCGTCTTGCTGCTCACCTCCTCCCCAGAGGTCGCTGACTTGCTAACGATAGGCCGGCAGTTTATCTTGCGCGCATCATTAGTCCGGAAGCTTTTGATCCTTTATCAATAGGCCGGAGGATTGTCATTCATATGTAAGAGCTGTATATATATGCACATACATATATACACTTATACATATATATAATGCACATGCTATCAGAAAATCCAGCCAGCACAGCGCCAATTTCAACCAGCCAACAACCAACCAACCAACCAACAACCACCAACGACGACCAACCAACCAACCAACCAACCAACCAGACAAAAACAACGTACCAACCGACAACCAACCAATCAACCACACACCCATCAACAAACAACAACAACAACAAGAACCAACACCCCCAAACCAACCAACCAACACAACCAACCAAAACGACGCCCAACCAACCAAAGCGACGCCCAACCATCCACGAACCAACCATCAACAACCGACCACAACGACAAACCACCACGCCAACAACCACGACGCCCAACCACCGCAACGACGATCGCGCCGCGGCGGCGACAGCGGCAAGGGCGACGACGCGGCGACGGCGCCTTCGGCGGCGACGGCGGCGTCGACGGAGGCGACGGCAAAGACGACGACGATGACAACGACGGCGACGACGACCGACGGCGACGACGACGGGCGACGGCGACGGCGGCGACGACAGAGGCGACGGCGACGACGGCGACAACGACGACAACGATGACAGGCGACGTACGACGGTGGTCGTCGTTGTCGCTGTCGCTGCCGCCGCGCGCCCGCTGGCCCGACGAGAGGGGGGAAGTCCCCTCTCGGCCGCGTGGCTGCGGCATGGCGCCCAAGGGCGGCGCCGAGGAGAGGGCGCGGCTCAGGCTGCCCTCTCTCCATCCTCCGTCGCCCTCCTTCTCGTCGTCGTCGTCGTCCTCCTCCTCCTCCTCTTCCCCCCCCTCTCCCCCTCCCTCCCCCTCTCCCTCCCGCCCTCGCCCTGCCCCCCTGCTTTCCCCCCTCCCTCCCTGCCTCTATCCTCCCTCTTCCTCGCCCTCGTCCGCCTCCTCCTGGTCATCGTCTTTCTCTTCCTCGGTCCTCCTCCTTCCCCTCCTTCTCCTCCTCCTTTCTCCTCGTCCTAATCGTCGCCATCCTCCTCCTTCTCGGTCTTCCAGCTCCTCCTGCTCCTTTTCCTCCTCCTCCTCCTTTCCCCCCTCCTCCTCTCCCCCTTTTCCCCTCCTCCTCCTTTTCACCCCTCCTCCTTTCTCCCCTCCTCCTTTCCCCCTGTGCTGCTCCTCCCACTTCTCTTCTTAGCTCCTCCTCCTCCTCCTCCTCCTCTTCCTCCTCCTCCTCCTCCTCCTCCTCCTCCTCCCCTCCTTTCCCTCCTGAGGGGCGCGGCGGCGCTCAAGGATGCGGTCATCCCATTCGTCACATCGCGTGCGTGGCTTCAGTACGGCACGCAGCCAGGTGGAACAACGAAAGCGAACCATCGATCGAGCGCGCCCGTCCGCCCGCGCTGCCCGCGCTCCGTTGAGGAGGGCTTGCCGTGGGTGGACGGGCGCGTTTGATCGAAGGTTCGCTTTCGATGTGCATCCCAGGGAACGACAGATTCACTCAAGAGTGCGTGGAGACG